AGACGATTTCTCTCTCCTTACTGCCCAAGGCTCCCCTTATTCTTCCTATTTTTGTTGCACCTTCTATTGATTTATTCCTAAAAGAAAAAAAAAAAAGTAGTACATCAGGGAACCATTCCACACGATAAATGACATGACTACTGTTGGGGGTTCACCGGACCCCGCTTTGTGTACCTATGTAGCATTTACAGGTATGACTGGGTGTGAGAGGGGTGTCAGAGGATCTTCAGTCATTTCTCTGCTCTGACCAATGCTTCACTGTGCCAAAAGGAAGGGGAAAATGTTGTTGGGTTTTGTAATTAAATTATTTATATATTTTTGAAACCTGAATTGAAAAATGTTGCAGGCAACGGGGCTCCAGCTTTAGTAGTGGTTCTCTACCTGTGGTCTCCTTGGGCCAAGCAATTTCTTTAAAGGAAAAGTGAACATTATTGTATGTGGGGGTGCCAGGACCACTGCCACGTGAAAGCAAGTGTGATTTTTATTTTTAATATTATTTTATTTGTGTCTGTGTACATATTCCTGTATAAATTTTATGAAACCCAGGCATAGTGCTTATTTTTTAATAAAATTCATTACTGATGGAAACACTTTGTGGTGAAGGGTTGGAGGTGGGGACTTCTTTTTACCCCTCCCCCCTAAAAATCGGTTCAGGTTTGGGTCTTCATAAATGTCCTTCTGGGATCAAAATATTTTCCTGAATAATTCAATAAAGGCAGAACAACCTACAGGTTTCATTACCAAACAAATGGCTGTACAAATTTCCAGCATGGGCCTTTCATTAATGAGACTCCTTAAATTGCAGCTTAAGAGTTCCTACAATAAATGAGATTGTGTCTCCCTCACTCATCCAAGAATCCTTCAGCAAGCTTACACTCAGGCAGGCATTTGCAGGTAAATGGATTCTGATTTGGGACTCAAAACATTGGCAACTTCATCTTAGCCTAAGACCATCTTAACACACCAAAGAGATCTTCAGGCGATTTTAAAAGCAATTTAATGTCAGTGTTTTTGTTAACACAAACCCAGCCAGGGTTTTAGGAATGCCATATTCATTTGGGTGTGAACCAATTCACAGGGTTCTCCCCTCCCCCATTATCACCGGAAATAAGAGATCTCTTATTTCAATTGTAATCCCGAAGAGAAAATGCCACCTGCAGAGAAGCAGGAGACAATTTCCCATCTTCGAAATGCAAGGGAAGGTTTTAACCCCGAGGAGCCAGAAATCAGAAATCGCACCTGTTTCTCAGTCCATCCAAAAGCAATGGGTCTCTAACAAATGTATGGTTAAGGAATTCTAAAAAATAATGTAAACAAGCAATTCCGGAGACTGGAAACAACTTAGGCCTCCTTATCAGTCCTGCCATTGTGGCTTACATCCCTTCTTATCCCAGACAGGAGGAGGATTCCTGATCCACGGATTATGAAGTGGGAGAAACCATGTGGTGTCTTTTGGCAGGAGCGAGAGAAGAAAAAAACCTACCCCTAAGTCTGGTTAACCAGTAACAAGTCTTGACCGAGTTGGGTCGTATCTACTTAATAGTCATAAAGAGTGATAATGATAGGGTTGAATTATGACAAAAGGTAGACATTTGCACCCCCAAGGCCAATAATTAGGCCTGAAAATAAAACTGAAACAGACAAGCATAGGTGGGGAGTGGGGGGAGGCAACAGATGCCTTGGGTTGAAATGATCAGCACTCAACCCTTGGCTTTCTTCTGGAAAACTGGAACTGTGGTGCAGCCGGGTTGGCGGGGTTCGCGTTTGCAGGTGTTCCCCACCTCTGATTCGGTAGACCAAGTCTCTCTGGGAGCCATGTCTCCGGAAGCAAAGTCCTGAATACTTCCACATCGTGTTTGTAAAGCCTTTCTCTTCATTTCTACACTGATAACAAGAAGACAGTCCTACACACGGAAAGTTTAAAATAGCTGCTGATTTATTTATGATAGAAACACAGACATAAGCACAGAAAAGAGGGGGGAAAGCAGACAGGTGCTTTGCAAATCACAGCCCTTCTTCCCTTGGGGGAAGAGGAGGCTGCTGAGGTCTCCTTCCTGGCTTCCGGGCCTCTTCTCTGTTTCTCAAGAAACGTTACGGTTTTCTAGAGAATTGTCGGCGTACAATGACTTTGCGCCTCTTGTCTGGAGTCCCACGACCAGTTCCAATCTCCTGTCCCACAACCTAAAGGACAATCGCTGTGGGCGGTGGCATGGGGGGTGGGGTACTAGAGAGTTCTGTCGCCCCTTTCGCGCCCCCTCCTTCACATCCCCAGCTCCAGGGTTTCAGTTTCTCGGTGCTGAGCCACTGGCAGTCCAGGAAAGTGACACCACAAACCCCCCATTTTCTTAATGACGTTTTTTTAGTTCAGGCGACGCTGCGATTCCGGAACAACTGCGCGTCAGGGCGGAGATAGAGGCCTTTTGAGTTCAGGTTCCGTCCATCGCTGCTGAGGCAGGTCCTCTCTAGCCCTTCAAAGACAGTCCCTTCCAAGAGCCACCCAGAAAACCGGATTCCGGATTCCGGATTCCTCGCAGGAGCGGGAGGAATGAACCAAGCTCAGTGTGTCCGCAGCCCACCTGAACCCCTGAGCCAAGGAAGGGTAGGCCAATCCCTACCTCACTTCCCAGCCCTCAGCGCATGTCCTCTGCTTTCTCCAACCAGCCCCTCTCCCGGGCCAAAGGGGCCCGAAGCCCAGCTGTGCAAACACGAAGCTCTGCAAACACGAAGCTCTGGAACTTCTGAGCCAACTCTGGTAGGGCAGCGCTGAACTGGCGGGAGCGAGGGGTCTGGTTTGGGAAACTCCCCTGGA